CGTTTCCCGCTCGAGCGTAATCCACCTCTTTAAAGCTACTGAAATATCTGTGGAAATAACAAATTTGTTACGAAAAAAGGAATTCATTAGGTTTTATTAGAATTCAAGGATAAAATCTGACAAATTAAGGATGTTGGTAGATTAACACTTGTGTTAATCAAGCATACAAGGACATATCAGTCCATCTAGTCTGAAATTAATCACGGATATGTTTTAGATTGTCAAAGCATATTAATTGGTCTGAATGTTGTTTAAACGAACTTACTCTTGAACCTCATCTTTTGTTTTGTTTGTGAACAAAACACCTACTTCACCTCTGAGAAACTTGCTCACCTGCAAAACAAGCCAGTGTAGTTGATCAAATTCATAAAATTAGCAATTTTAAAAAAGGCATTAATTAGCAATGAAATCATTGATGACTTGCGCTAACATACTTTATGCAGATTATCTTTGTACTCGTCTGTCGGTCCTTTACCCAGTGCGATCATCATGACTTTGTTCTTACCGAAAAAGAACCTGAAACACAAAACCCAAATACAACCTTAATCTCTTAGAAATCCTAAAATAACGCATAAAAACAGTAAATCAAAAGCATCATGGAGAGTGTGTGTGTGTGTGTGTGTACCGGCTGTGTTTCCAGGCCGTCCTGATGTCTTTTAGTTTGTTGTTTCTCATGTTTTCTACTGAGAACACAAACACATATCTGTAGATGTCTGCGCATTTCCGCAGCTGAGAGGGTGAGAAATGGAAAGAGATATTTTAATTGATCATAAAACTATTGTTGATGGTATTACATATCTAATTTAGGTCTGGAAATAAGCAATTAAAAATACAATACAAATATATCTTATCAAGAGGGAATATATCACTTTATGTCACTAAGAAAAACTGAATGTAAAACAGATTTGCTGATTTTCTTGTTTCATAAAGCATCTCAAATCATGCTGGAGAACATGATCATCAGGTTTTGCTCATATCAGCTCCAGTGCTGCTGTCATTCAAGTACTTCATGGTATATGCTTGTAGTGTCACCCAAAATAGCAATAAAAAGTCATACTAACCTCTTCAATCAGGTTTTGCTTGGCTTCCAACCCCTTCTTGGTTGTTTTGGTTAAAGAAACTATAAAAAAAGTATTATTAATGATAGCACAAAAAACATTACCAAATTCTAACACACCCAACTGCTTCAATAACATTAATAAATGGCACTTTTACAGTTTAACCACATACACTAAAGTCTGAGCAACAAGTAACAAACATGATTTTATTTCAGTACTGTGCCTATTAAAACGTAAATACGTTTAAAAACTCTGACAGGTTCCTCTTTTTAACTAACGTTACACCAAGCAACACGAACTAAGCTCGAGTCATTTTAATGCACGCCGTGTAAACCTGAGTAATAATAAGGGATAAAAACAAATTCAAACATTAAATGAATACCTTTCTTGTCCCTCTTGGATTTCGGCATGGTTCTCACGTTGTGGTCTCGGTGTTTTCTTCTTCGCCTGATGATCTCGGAGCGCTTCACAAACTGTGAGGAAGCACACTGCCGCCTAGTGGTGTTCGCTGGTGCTCATGAATATTAATTAGATCACTGGACGAACTCTATGCGTGGGATCATTAATATTCATAAGCCAGAAATGGATTTGTTAATTCCTCTCAAGGAAAACTACAGTTCTATTGTAAATCAGCAGGAGGCGCTGCATAACTGTGGTATTATTAAAGACACGCACTATTAATATGAGTAGATTTATACTTATTTATGAAAATTCTGTCATCATTTACTCACCCTCCACTTGTTCCAAACCTGTATGAGTTTATTTCTTCTGTTGAACACAACAGAAGATATTTTGTACCCGAACAGTTGATGGGCACCATTGACTTCCATAGTATTTTTTTTTTCCTACTATGGAAGTCAATGGAGCTCATCAACTGTTCGGATAGCTAACATTTTTCTAAATATCTTCTTTTGTGTTCAACAGAAGAAAGAAACTTATCCAGGTTTTTTAACAAGTGGAGGGTGAGTAAATGAAGTGAACTACTTCTGTAACTCTCTTTTATTCCCATGATATTCTAAGATACACACGTTTATTTTATTTTATTAAAGGTTTTAAAGCTTTTATTGTTTTTACAGTATGCAATTTTTAACATTATGCAAAGTGTAAAAACACCTTATTTTGTCAATTTGCCACATTTTGTCAATAAACACCTTATTGAACTTAAAATATATGTTAAAAGTATATTGAAAAGTATATAGCAACTAGTTTACATAGTAACTATCAACAAATAAACAGAACTTAACAAATTAAACACACAGTCAAGGGAATTAAGTACTTGATTAATTGCACTTTACTATTCTTTGTTTAGATACTTTTTATTGTTTCCAAACATTAAGAAAAGGAATTACATACAGTATATTCTATAACAGTAACCAAACTCCAACCAAAGAACACCTGCCCGACATAAGAGCCATAAGAAACCTTTACACATAGCACTACCAAAAAAAGGGGGCCATTATTGTAAAATACATTAAGAAAATTACAGTTCAGCATATGTAGTTAGTTACTAATGAAAAACAAAAATATGTTAAAATGTGCCATAAACACAGTTCACAGTCAACTGTGATATGATCACATTATTTGGTATTACTCAAGAGTCAGTTCATTCTGATCTAAAAAACGTTCAGTCCCAGATCTTTTAAAATATGTGCATTTTTTGTTTGATTGAGTAAGTTAGTCTTTCCATTGCTAAACGAGAAGACAATTCTTTAATCCAGAGAGACAGAGATGGACCATGAATACTTTTCCAGTGAATGCCAACCAGGCGTTTCACTTTACTATTCTTAAGTATTATTTTGAGTATTTTTTTCCACTCAAATACTGTACTTTATAGGGAAATATCATCTGGCCTTTGAAGCGAATTCAATGAAATACAAACTTTTTTATTTCACTTAAATATGGCTTTCTGTCTATACACTTTGATTTTAAATAAGCAATGTTGGTACAGTATAGAAATAATATTAATTATATTCAATTATATTCTGTATGATTATAACTCATTAATTATGAAACATTGCTAAAATATAAATGGTATATATTTAGATAAAATATTAATGCATATGGGCTATTAATAGTTACATAATTAATAATTAATCGTTAATAAGAAATAAATTGTATATATTTAGATACAAAAATCAAATAGTATATTTTATCAATCTTAATATAATTAATAATAAATTATTTGGCTATACTTAGTTAACATTGAAAACATATAAGTTGCATTTATTTAGATAAAATATTAGATCATATATTTGATCAACCTTTAATAATTATTATTATTAATTATTAATATGAATAATAACATATTTAAAATAAGTACAATTTCTTTGTACTTTTCCCATCACTCACTAGTCACAACACAAAATAAACAGTGCAGAAAATGACCAGAACTGATCATTTCAATTCTCCCTAACAAGACCTCTTTTCTCAGACAGCTAAAACTCATTAGAGGAACTGCCTTTTTGTTATAGATGTGTATGAGAACAGATGGATTCACATGGGCACTTAACATTTGAATGAAAGGATTTGTAGCAGACATGACTGCACTCCCAAAAACTTTGATGGACAAAATGGATCAAACCATTGCAAAAATTACACATGATCCTCAGAAATCCTTGGGTGTGTTTTGTGCATATGTGCAGAGCGCTTAAACAGACTTCAAGCCAGGGCAGGTTTAAGGTGTAGATGCTTGTGTAATGTCTGATTTTATTCATCAGTCATTTGGTGAAATGCAAACACTCAAACTCTGTGTTTCCGCAACATGTAAAAGTGAAAATAATCCTTCCTTACAGTTTTAATTCATGAATTTGCTAATGAGCTTGCTCTCACTTTCACATTTAATGCCCATCATTAATATTAACTGAGGTATGAACATTTCAACTCTGACCAATGAGTCTGAATTAATCACAGATTTGTATTCAGTGAGCTGGTTATGTTTTTGCAATGTGCAAAACTTGAAAATGTGAATTTGTTGCTGTCAGAAAGCAGTGTTACAGTATAAATATACAACTCAAATAATAACACGTCTGCTAAATATATAATTGAAAATTATAAATAGATAGATAGATAGATAGATAGATAGATAGATAGATAGATCTTAAATCAAAATAATATATTTATCAATATCAATATAATTAACAATTCAAAGATTAATTATTAAACATTAATAAATATCAATTTTATATATTTAGATAAACAATCAATCATATGTAAAATATTTGTCAATTATTAATAGCTATTTTAGACATTGATAAAGTATAAATTGTATATATTTAGATCAAATATTAAGTAATATATTTTAGCAATATTAATAGGCTATTATTAATAGTTAAATAATTAATTATAAAATTGATCAAATATCAACAGATTTTGTCAAAATAATTGTATTAATAATTAAATAATTAAGTATGAAACATTGATCAAATATAAATGGTATATAATTAGATAAAATATTAATTAATATGGGCTATTAATAGTTACATAATTAATAATTAATCGTTAATAATATATAAATTGTATATATTTAGATTAAAAAAAGTCAAATAATATATTTTATCAATATTAATATAATTAATAATAAATTATTTGGCTACTTAGTTAACATTGAAAACATATAAATTGCATTTATTTAGATGAAATATTAAATAATATATTTGATCAACCTTTAATAATGAATGCATTCATTGTTAAACATTGATAAAATATCCTGGAGCCTATTGTATGGTTGTTATTTTTATTTGTATTGATCGGTTAGTAGTTTTAAAGCGCTTGTATGGCAGTGGGTCTTTAAAATCAGATTATAATAATCCACTCTTGCAGTTTGAAGAAATAAAACGTGCTGGAGTTTGTTTGGGGGGGCGATGTTGCCATATTCCTGCACTCCCTCCCTCCTGCTTCTCCGCGTCCCGGGGCGGCGTGTCGGGGGCGGAGAGTGCGCTGCGGATCTCCCTCTTTTAGGAGTATGAAACTCGATCCCGTCGCGCCGGTAGCGTCCGGTATAAAACAGTAGCGCGAGTCCAGCGGAAGAGACTGTGAGAACAATATCAGTGTGATCGGAGAGTTTGGACTTCACGATCACCGAGATGAGTCGCAGTTCTCCACATGTCCCGGACTTTCATAAATGAGCTGACATACAGACCCGTTATTCCTGCTCGTTTCCATGGAGAACATGATGCGTCCTGGAATGATAGACCGATAATGATTGCATTGCTTGTTTCTAATCAATTGATGATACTTAAGGTTTTTTTTACGCATGAGAAGAAGACTGCATGGACACACCAGCTCTGAATTGAAGTCATTAAAGCTCACCGATATCTATTTTTGTATGAAACCATGAGCTCGTTGTTGTTTGGAGAAGGTTTTTTGGGCGGTGTGGTGAGCGGCGCGCCGTCGGACGCGGTTCCCAGAGCGCTGCGCAACGACCTGGGATCCAACATCCATGTTCTCAAGACCCTCAATCTGAGGTTCCGCTGCTTCCTCGCCAAAGTCCATGAGCTGGAGAGAAGGAACAAACTTCTGGAGAGCCAGCTGAAGCAAGCCTCCAGTCAGCCGAGGCACACGGGCTTCACCTTCACGCGTGAAGTCGCTGTCCAGACGGACTCTCTGGAATCCAGACTTCCAGGCACCATCTGGAGTTTTACGCATATTTTGAGACACGGAGAGCGCGTGAAGACTGTCCAGGGACCCGGGGTCACCTGGACCCATCCGGACGGGGTTGGGGTCCAAATCGACACCATCACCCCAGAACTGAGAGCCTTGTATAACGTCCTGGCCAAAGTCAAACGGGAGCGGGATGAGTACAAGAGAAAGTGAGTAGGCTACTGTTTTATCATGCCTTGATTTGTTCTTCATGCAGTTCTGTAGGCCTGAAAATGAGCCTGGTCAACACTTCTGTGCTGGACTGATTCATTGCAGCAGAATACCTTGGCAGGCGAACAGCAAATATTGAAGGGCCCAGTTTTGCATGCAGAACCGTCCATACAGGCCAAATGAACATTTGAGCTTTTGTGAATGTTGGTGTGCTTGCATGGGAAATGCTTCTTCATTAGCACGTTCATTAAGGATATGCATGATGAAATGCAGGGAAGCAGTGATCACTATTATATAGAGTCACCTCTAAATATACCAATTGTTTCTTGCATTGCTCAGCAGCTGAATTCCTCCTTCAAATTTTACAGCTGTCTTCAGAAATACGATATGAGAAGCTTTTTATCACAGTTGCCCAATGATTAAGTTATTTGTTTCATTCACTTCATTTACTTGGTACATCATTTTTTTTAAAACATTTTTTCATTATGACATGATTTTCATGACAATATTGCATATTTTACAACCAAATCTCATTGCTGTAATACAAACAAAATGATTTATGATTAAAAGTATTTATAAATAATGCTATTATTTGTGGCACTTCTTTTAATTCATGCTGATTTAAATTTAAAAAATATTTTATTTTATTTTATGCTGATTTAAATAAAAACGTATTTGTGCAACAGTATTGTTTAAGATAATAGTACAGTAAAAAAATACTGTATTACAGTAATGAAAATCATAATTGAAATACATGGAACAGTAAAAGTAAAACTTCAGGATGCAATACAATAATAAGAATGGGATTGAAAAATTTACAGTAGTGAAAATTTGAGGGTAAAATGTGCTTAATTGTCCTGAAAAACAGTGCTCCATTTAATTTAATTAATTTTATTTTATTTAGTTTCCTTTGCAAAATATAATTTTCATGATTTTGGACTAGAATGTGACACAGGCATGATGACTGATTTCCAGCCTTATGGATCAGTCTTTGTGAATGAGATTTCTTAAGGATGTTGAATGGGTTTTATTAATGCATGACTTCTGAATGACTTCAAACACTGAGGCATCAGAGGAGCCGCGTGAATATGTGTGTGTGTGTGTGTGTGTGTGTGTGTGTGTGTGTGTGTGTGTGTGTGTGTGTGTGTGTGTGTGTGATCCAGCTACCCTTTTGCCCAGACATGTGCTGACTCACTAGTAAATACTGTTTCCTTACCCTTCAGAAAAGCCACAACAATTAACACAAAATGAAGGCGAGGAAAGAGGAAGCAAGCGTGTATATATCACATCCTGGTCATCCTGTGGGTGATTCAGAAGCTCATTTTAACATTGTGGGCCTGTCTTTGTCTGAGATCGCCATCAGTTATGACATCATGACATCACACAGGAACTTCAAATGAGTCTCGGACAAGTTCGGATATGAAATAGGCCAATATCTTTGTTTTCTTTGTTAGAATTTCTTTTGTATGGTCTACAGGAAGTTTACCAACCATAAACGAAGTTACTAAGTCAAACTTAAGAGAGTCTACATGTATAATAGTCTAGTATAGGCTATAGTGGAAACTATGGAAGCCTGTTTCCGCCACAGGATAAAAGATTTTTTCTCGCAGTTCATCTCAGTTTACTTCTCACAATAATGCATTTATATCTCGCAATTCTTTTTCACACAATTCTGATTTTACATCTCACAATTCTGACTCAGAATGCTAAGTTTATGTCTCACAGTTCAGTTTTTTGTTTGTTTGTTTGTTTGTTTGTTTTTGCCACAGAATAAAAAAAAACAAGTAAAAGGTAATTGCAACTTTATTCTCACAATTCTAACTTTTTCTCGCAATTGCAATTTTATATTTCGCAATCTTGCAATTCTGATTTTTTTCTTAGAATTGTGAGTTTATATCTCACAAATCTAAGTTTATATCTCATAATTCTAAGGTCATATCTCACAATTCTATCTTGCAATTCTGAGTTTATATTTTGCAATTCTGAGTTTTTTCTCAGAAAAAGTTTGAATTGTGAGAGAAAATACTAAGTAGTATTAAACCTTGATGCATAAATCCTGTATGATTTGTTTATAAATTTTGAAAAGGTGTGCAATTATGTTTCTAAGCAATTGCAATTGGCAGACATTAAAAATGACATTAAAATGGGCTAAAGAGCCCATAAATAGTTGTTTACACCCTAAATTCATACTAAAATGTATCCCGATACTCATGTGAACAGTCAAATAATGGCAATAAACTCTAAACATAAATGTAATTGTTAATGCTGTCGGATTGCATGTCCATTATAGCTAATAGCTTCAGTGGCTTCATCTCTATGACACTCAGAGGAATGTTAGTTAATGACACTCAGATTCATTAGTTTGATCATTCCATTCCATGTTAATTATAGTATTGCATCTAAATAATTGTTCCTTCTAAGTGCAAAATTACACTCTAAAAAATGCTGGGTTAAATATAACCCAGCGGTTGGGTTGTTTTGAACCCAACCGCTGGGTCAAAACAACCCAATAGCTGGGTTTGTCCCTTTTTAACCCAGCGCTGGGTTATATTTAACCCAGCATTTTTTAGAGTGTAGGATATATAATAGCTAACAAGTAGAACACGCTTATTAGCGCATTAATCGATAACTGTGAATGATGATGCATGATGACAGATGACGATGCATGTGTGCTTTCTGACATATAAGCAGTGTGTGTTGATTTCACCGCCCATGTTCACAGGTTGCAGCATTCACATTGTGCATGTAAGCTTTTCTTCCTGCTGGAGAAATCTGACCCCCACGCTGGTCTTTAGTGCTGACTACAGTTTTTATTGCATGTGAATCACTGGTGTGCATTACATCACACACATATCATTCGCTCATGCATTTGGAAAGTGCAGTTCCTACATGTCCGTTCGCTTCTGGCCCCAACAAATTCTTTCACGTTGAAGGCTTAACAATTAATTAATCAGCTTATAATAAAAAGCTTATAATAATTAATCAGCTAATAAATAAAAAGCTATAATGCTCAAACATGTAAAAAAAACCAGCTCCCAAGATATCCAAAGTTTGGGATCTTAATATCTGTATGTATCAAGTATATGTGTATTAACTTTAAATCTAAATGAGTATTTCTTTATATCTAAATGACAATTTTTCTCAGACAATATTGGTGCATGCAGTTATTTTGAATCTTTATGAAGTTGTAAAACAACTTCCAAAAGATTATTGTAGTACGTTTTACAAGAAAATACTATTTTAGTCTCTCTACTTCAAAAATTCATGTTTAATACTGAGTTTTTGTTTTACATAATTTTAACCTAATTCAATTAATTCATTCATTTTAATAATTTTGAAGGTAAAGATGAAATTCATTCATTCATTCATTCATTAAATAAAATTAAACCCAGGAAGTTAAAATGTTTTGTTTTGTTTTATTTTATTTTTTAAATTATGTTTGTAATTTATTATTTTGTAAATTATTTTGTAATTATTTGTGAAACTTACTTGCAATTTCTGAGTGAAAATTGTTTCACCACCCATTTTTTTCAGTGTAATTTGATTAATTAAAGGCATATTATGTAGTTAAATTTGATAATTAAAAAAATAATAATAATTTTAATAATTTTACAATTCGAGAGCATCATGTTTGAATACATTGTGGAATTAGTTTCTTTTTATTCTTTTTTTTATTCTTACTTTAAATAATGATTTTTTTTAAATGATTAAATGGTTTTATTTTTAGTTGACTACACTCTAAAAAATGCTGGGTTAAATTTAACCCAGTGCTGGGTAAAATAGGGACAAACCCAGCAATTGGGTTGTTTTGACCCAGCGGTTGGGTTACTACCCAGAAGGTTGGGTTAAACATTTAACCCAACCGCTGGGTCAAAACAGCCCAATTGCTGGGTTTGTCCCTATTTTACCCAGCACTGGGTTGTATTTAACCCAGCATTTTTTAGAGTGTAGTCAACTAAAAATAAAACCATTTAATCATTTAAAAAAAATCATTATTTAAAGTAAGAATAAAAAAAAGAATAAAAAGAAACTAATTCCACAATGTATTCAAACATGATGCTCTCGAATTGTAAAATTATTAAAATTATTATTATTTTTTTAATTATCAAATTTAACTACATAATATGCCTTTAATTAATCAAATTACACTGAAAAAAATGGGTGGTGAAACAATTTTCACTCAGAAATTGCAAGTAAGTTTCACAAATAATTACAAAATAATTTACAAAATAATAAATTACAAACATAATTTAAAAAATAAAATAAAACAAAACAAAACATTTTAACTTCCTGGGTTTAATTTTATTTAATGAATGAATGAATGAATGAATTTCATCTTTACCTTCAAAATTATTAAAATGAATGAATTAATTGAATTAGGTTAAAATTATGTAAAACAAAAACTCAGTATTAAACATGAATTTTTGAAGTAGAGAGACTAAAATAGTATTTTCTTGTAAAACGTACTACAATAATCTTTTGGAAGTTGTTTTACAACTTCATAAAGATTCAAAATAACTGCATGCACCAATATTGTCTGAGAAAAATTGTCATTTAGATATAAAGAAATACTCATTTAGATTTAAAGTTAATACACATATACTTGATACATACAGATATTAAGATCCCAAACTTTGGATATCTTGGGAGCTGGTTTTTTTTACATGTTTGAGCATTATAGCTTTTTATTTATTAGCTGATTAATTATTATAAGCTTTTTATTATAAGCTGATTAATTAATTGTTAAGCCTTCAACGTGAAAGAATTTGTTGGGGCCAGAAGCGAACGGACATGTAGGAACTGCACTTTCCAAATGCATGAGCGAATGATATGTGTGTGATGTAATGCACACCAGTGATTCACATGCAATAAAAACTGTAGTCAGCACTAAAGACCAGCGTGGGGGTCAGATTTCTCCAGCAGGAAGAAAAGCTTACATGCACAATGTGAATGCTGCAACCTGTGAACATGGGCGGTGAAATCAACACACACTGCTTATA